GTGTGTGTGTGTTTTTTAATTTAATTTACAAATGAAATGATTCTAACAGTTACTTTAAACCCTCAGTAACCCTTACATAAACATGGCTAATTGCAAACACGGGACTTTTCACATCAACTTACACAGAAGCATCATTAAGTACAGCAACTTTATTATTTAGACTCTTTCTCTCCTACTGAGCTCTAAACTAACTTTAATAATGAACTCTGAGTCTATTAGACTCCACGTCTTACCGTTAGTGCTTTTAAATTTGATTCGTTTGACTTATTAACAGACTACATACAAACAGACTTTCAGGGTGGATGTAATAAAATAATTAAAGCCATTTGTTGGTGCAGCTGTCTCGTAAGTAGAGACCAATCTTTAAGTAACGATCTCTGACAGTGGACTTGTCTGTGTGCTTCTATTGTTCGATGTGAGACCTCGGTGCAGCATTTGATGCTGCTGACTGATTATTACACAGTGTAGAAGACATCATCAAAGTGTACTGTGCTGGCTTGAACAGTGTTTAGCTGACAGATTCCAATGCATTCCTGAGTCTTCCTCACTCGGAGAAGTTATCTGTCAGACATGAGCTACATGGACTGCTGTAATTCCTTTATTCTCATGTTGTTTTGAAGGTTGTCAGAAAAGCCTTTAGTTGCTCCAAAATACTGACAGGGACTGAAAATGGAGCCCATATATTTTCTATATTGGCTTTTCTTCCCTGTTGAATGCAGAATTTAAAAATTCTCCTGACAAACAAAGGCTTGAAAGATCAGGGCTCATCATATTTTAAAGATCTTAGCACCTAACAGAGCACAATGTTCTAAGACTGCAGACTTGCTTGTAGACTCGGGCTGCTGGGGTACTTCCCATAGTGTGTTCTGTCCTTTCTCCAATTTCCTTCAATGCACATATTAAACAAACATGTAGGACTGCTTTCTTCCACTTGCACAGTATCTCTAAAATTAGAACCATCCTGTCTCAGAGTGACGTAAAATCCTTCTCATCACATACAAGGTCTTGAATATTCAGGCCCC